CAGTCCCTAAACATATTTGTGTTGTGAAAAGCAATTTCAAAATTACAAATTTGTAAATGTTTTATCGTTTCAGTTTTTTCTTTAATGTGTTGCAAGAACCAAAATTGGAATACGTGTTTAAGAAAAAGAAAAATCACGAGGAACACATTGAAAAAATATGAGTTCAGATGAGTTTGGTGAACTATCCGCTCTCTTCTTACCTTTTAGGCATTTTAGTTGTTTTATTATTTTATTTTACGAAACATGGTAAGATGCTTTGCTGATATACAAAATACAATTAATGCACTAAATTAATTACTGAAAAGGTTGCAATTGAAAAGAATGATTGCAAAGAATTGAAAAATATGATGACATGAAACTATTAAACTGGCCATTCTGTACTGAAGGCATCTGTTCAATTATTGATATTATTGTATTTAATGTTTATATTGTTTTGAAATTGAATAGTTTAGAAAACAATAATAACAAACTCATTGTTTTTTTTTCTCGTAAATTATGAGCACCTTCCATGGGTTTCTATTGTTTTTAATACTAAAAAAAAAGGTTTTTACATTGCTCTACCTTAATTCTACTCTGTAAAAAAGGTTCATTGAGGTTCTATGTGAAACTATGGTGATTTATATTGGCCAATAGAACCTTTTTGATTAAAACGAAATTTATGCTGTGGCCAAAAAACCCAATCAATGTATAATATTGAGGTTTTTTTTTTTTTTTTTACATCGACATATTTCCTAGTACATCGTAAACGTGTTAAATTGTCCAAAGAAATAATATATGATGCAATGATACATTTATTTAAAAATAGATATCTGTGCACTAAACATATTTCTTGATCAAAAGTAACCTCATGTTGTTTAAAATAAATGTGTTTTTCAGCTGAAGTGTAACAGGTTTGTCCAGCTTGTCTGCAGATCTTTTGTTTCCCCATTCCTTAGTCCTTATTTTGTTTCATAGAGTGAAACAAAGTTTCTTTATAACTTGACAAATGGCAAATATAAATACAATACTAATACAAAGTAAACGTTTGAATACTTTAAACAAATAAACCTGCATCTTTTTAACTTCTATAACAATTCTATTAACAATCTATTCAGTCTGACTATAAACCTGAAAATCTGTTCAGTTCAATATCTCTACAACTATATTTCTGCCACTTACCTGTGAGGATCAAATGTATCCACAAGTCTTTAAGCAGTGAATTAAATAGGCCTATTCTGTAGTTTTATCATTTCAGCTGTAAAAGTTGTTGTTGATCAAGTGACTTTCAATTGTGAACGACAGTGGTGTCAGAGATCATAACTCATCAGCGCTTTTTTTCTAGATCTGAAGACGGATGTTGAGGGAAATATTCTTTAAAGGGACAGTTCACACAAAATGAACATCTCCACACCGTTCACTACAGTGATTCTAAACTTTAATGAATTTCTTTCTTCTGTTGAACACAAAACATATTCTGAACAATGTTGAACACCAGCAGCCACAGTAAAGAGAAAATACTTTGCAGCATTCCTCAAAACATCTTCAGTGTTCAACAGAACAAAAAATAAATACATTAAACAGGTTTGGAACAAGTGGAAGCCTGAAAAAATGTGAAAAGATAAAAATAAATTACAGAATTTTCATCTTTTGGGTGAACTATCCCTTCAATATACTCAATCCTCAGCTAAACAGTAGGTATAGAACAAAGCATTTGCACTCACCTGTATCAAGACTTAGATTAAGAAAACTGTATTTGATTAGGAATAAATAAATATATGCATTTTATAATTGTAATTATTATTATTTTTTGGCTGCATAATTATTCATAAGTCATAAGAAACTGAATTTCTCACTGAACTGCTGTGATGGCATAGTTTTCCAATTTATTCATGTTGAAAATTTGAGTTTAGATGCTAATGTAACCGTTCATTAAAGATGAAGTTAAACAAGGCAACATAATCAGGCCTTTAGCCAGGGGGGTTCAGGTGGTTTAAAACACCCACCTCTCACTAACAAAAGTCCAGAATTTGTCCCATACATGAGCTCATTTATCCTATTTTGACTGCTGCGCCATCATAAATAGTGAACATAACCCATCAAAAACGGCTTTAAGACCAAACAGAATCTTCTGTTTTCTTTCACTTCGGTGTGACTTTAGCTAATCAGTAACTACATATTACGACGTAATAGTATTCAAAATATTTTATTTTTTGTGTTTTTCATACTGAGAAGGAGGGAGAACAATCATTTATTCAAACTTACGGGTGTGATGATTCGAGGAGCTAAGTTTTTACTATCATTATCTTCTGGGCTGAAATATGGATAGAGTTTATCAGTGAAAGTCTGACCAGTGTAAGAGTAGATATGAGAGCTGGACTCCACATCATAAAAACAGACCAAACCCTCCTCATAATCCACAAACACACCGACCCGGTGCGGCTTCACTTTCAGAGACAGAGAGACAGGGGGATCAGCACAGGCTTTACATTGATTCCCATTCCTCAATCACAGAGTCCAGAATCCATCACTGGCAGTCTGTGTGGTCTCTCCCTTCCTGTCTACAGATTCTCTGACCACTCCTAAACTCCAGTCAGTCTTTCCCTTCACCTGAACATCAAAATAAAATCTTCTTGAGGAGAATTCCCCCTTTCCCAGAACATCTACATACCTATCAAATCTCATGTCATGTTTTTTGTCACTATCAAAAAACATGTCACTTGTTTTCCATCTTCAGACAGGATCAGATATTGATAAGCTGTATCAGGATCCAGAGTCACATCCACTGAGAAAACACAGAATATAAATCACAGTTCCACAGTATAAAGTTGAAAACATGAAATATAACATGGCAATATAAGTATAAAAATGTAGCAACAGTCACATACTGTATACATACATAGGTTTTAAAATACTTAATTACATAGAATATCAGAGGTACCTGATAGAAATGTAATGCTGTATGGCATGTGTAAGATATAAAATGTTAAATAACTTTATTGTAAACTTTTTGTAAAATCTGAGTTATCCCCTTACTAATTACCTGTGAATGTCTGACCAGAGTAGATATGAGAGCTGGAGTCCACATCATAAAAAGAGACCAAACCCTCCTCATAATCCACAAACACACCGACCCGCGGTGGATTAACTCTCATGGACACTGACTGAAGGACTGAAACAGTTGATGTATTTATCTCAATTTCTCAGAATTAAAGTCCAGCATCTATTACTGGCACTCGGTTACATTCCCTTCATGGTTTGTCTGGGAGTCTCTGTCTAATGTCTCCACATCTCACTTGTTTTCATTGCAACCCAGGCTTTCCCATCAGCAGACAGCAGCAGGTTTGTTTGAGCTGTATCAGGATCCAGATTCACTTCCACTGAGAAAAAAGCTAATTATAGTTTTGTAATGGTGTTTTAATATTGAGTCAAGCTTTAGTCTGATTATTCTGCAGTAATGAAGCAGTGAGTGTATGAGTGTAGACTAGTGTAGTTCAGCACACTGTACCTGCATACTGCTGCATCCACTTCAGAACTGTACAGACAGATGACAATAATATATGACGAGGTGCTTGAAATGTTTAGATTTACATGAAGCTTTAAAGGTGACGCTGGATGTGTTTTTTTGTTGTCTGTTAGCTCAGAAAAGTTAAATAGAAAAGATGCAGTTTGTTATAAACTGTCTGAGTGAAAATATGTGACACAATTTGAAAAAAAAATTGTATGGATGTTTCCCAGTACTGGGTTGCAGCTGGAAGGGCATCCCCTGCGAGCAAAATATAGACTCCACCCTCCTCGCACCCCTTTTCATAAACATATAGCATCTTAACAGCAGCTCGAACAATTGTGCTTTTCCCTTTGAGCTATGAAGCGGTTCTGCATGCACTGCTCTGTGTTCAGATGTAGAAGCTCAAGTCAAGACTTTCTGTGTGGAGTTTACATGTTCTCCCCGTGTGTTGGCATAGGTTTCCTCCAAGTAGGGCTTAATTTGTACCGGAGCAAGCTCTGAAATCTGATCTGGCACCTCAATTTACTGATCACCCTCCTCATAAGAGGGCTGGAGTAACTTGCCGGATCCGTTTCCACGACCCCGAAATGTACAAATTAAGTCCAAAGACATGCAGTATAGGTGAATTGAATAAACTGTAGTGTGTGTGAATAAATGTATGGATGTTTCCCAGTACTGGGTTGCAGCTGTAAGGGCATCCGCTGCGTAAAACATAGCTGCAATAGTTGGGGGTTCATTCTGCAGTGGTGACCTCTGAAATGGAGACTAAGCTGAAGTTAAATTAAAGGAAATTGCTCATTACATTGTGTTATAAATGTCTATACCTCCCTTTATTCAACCCTGGCTTATTCTGAAAATGTGCCTCTATATACATTTCAGCATATCGTCAAATCTGTCCCAGGAGCTACGTTTCTATTTTTTTAATTTTTTTATTTTTTGTTGTCATGAATCCAGGAGAGGCCGCTGTTTACGCTTTTTTAAGATCTCAAATTTCTCTCTCGAGAGCCATTCGCACCTGCTGTTCTCTCATAAATCCACCCAAGACCACTGTCAACTGTTTGACTGACTGAATGACTGACTGACCATTTAACTGACCCACCCTCCCCCTTGCCTAAACCCAACCAATAGTATTTTCAAAAGCACAGGTTGATTTTAAAACTCAACAATAATTTATTATTTTAAAATGATCCCATAATAATTAAATGGTTAGCATCATCTTTTAATTACCCCTATTTCTTATTCTTTCTTTTTTTGCACATATAAGAATATACTACATATGACAAAGCCTATTCTAAATCTTCTTGACAGGTATGTTTATGAACAATAATTAAAACAAACAAACAAACTATAATTAAAAATCTAAAGACTAAATAAAATGAACAGGCTAAGGCTTAAGTAAAAAAATGAGAAGTGAGATGATCTGCTTGTGGTTAATTACTGGACAGACTTTATTTACACTCTTTACACACTGGGTATAATGGCAAGAAAGAAGGAAATATTCAAACTGACAAAAAGCTTTGATCCATTTATGACTCAATGTGTCTTTATTTACTTACAGTTTAAGCAAACTTTCAATATTTACATGGTTTTCTCTGTCTTGTAGATAATGGAGAATTTTTACATAGGATTTTGGTACGTTTAAAATATCCAGCTAAATACAACACATTTCTACAAAATATAAATGAGGGATTTAAATTGCAGCACGAAGATGTTTAACATTATCAAACATGAATCATATAAATCGTTATTTTGTCAAGTTTCATCAGTGGTGTAAATTCATTTACTACTTACAGGTGTGATGATTAGAGGAGCTGAGTTTTTACCGTCATCATTATCTTCTGGGCTGAAATATGGATAGAGTTTATCAGTGAAAGTCTGACCAGTGAAAGAGTAGATATGAGAGCTGGACTCCACATCATAAAAGGAGACCAAACCCTCCTCATAATCCACAAACACACCGACCCGCTGCAGCTTCACTTTCAGAGACAGAGAGACAGGAGAATCAGCACCGGCTTTATATTGATTCCCATTCCTCAAACACACAGTCCAGAATCCATCACTGGGTCTCAGTGTGATCTTTCCCTTCCTGTCTACAGATTCTCTGACCACTCCTAAATCCCATTTAGTCTTTCCCTTCACCTGCACCTCAAAATAAAATCTCCCTGAGGAGAATCCCTCCTTTCCCAGAACCATTGCATATCTATCAAATCTCTGTGGTTTGTTTGGGAGTTTCTGTCTGATGTCTCCATGTTTTACTTGTTTTCCATCATCAGACAGGATGAGTTTAGGATGAGCTGTATCAGGATCCAGAGTCACATCCACTGAGAAAACACAGAACATGAATGACAACAGAAACTGATTTTGTGATGATGATATTAATATTTAATTCAGTTTTTAATCAGTTTGTCTTCAACAGTACTTAAGCAGTGAGTGTATGAGTGTAAATTACACTGTAAAAATGCAGGGTTACACTCAATTCCTTCATATTGACCCAACACAAATTGATTATGTTAACACTTTTAACAAATGTATGTGGATTGAACATAAAAAAATTAAGTTAAATTAAGCCCCAATAAAATGTCAAGATTTGTGTTGTTTCAGCTCATTTTAATTAAGTAGTTTAAACAAATAAAAAAAAAAAACATTTTTGAGTGTGTATTTCAGTCAGCTCACTGTACCTGCATACTGCTGCATCCACTTCAGCTCTGGAGACACACAAGACAACAAAACATGAGGAGATTGAGTTGTTTTTATGTATGAATTTATAGACAAGCTTTGAATAAAAAATGTTATAAACATTTTATTTTCTGATCAATCTGTATATCTATTATCAGTGGTTTGTGTGTGCACTTTTGAAAAATAAACTTGCTTAACTGTATTGAAATCTGTACTAACTGTACTTAAAATCTCTAATTTATACCTTAAAAATGTGCATTTGATGATACTATAGTTAAAATAAAAGTATGTTTAATGACATTATTTCTCAGCACACTGCATGTTTAAAAACACATAAACATATATTTTTGTAGTGTTTTACAGAAGAACAATTATTTATTTATGTATTTATTCATTTATTTGTTGGTTTGTCTGTGCATCTATAATAGTTCATTTTATTTTAACCTAAGTTTGTTGTCCAAAATTAGATTTATTATTTATAAATAAATACATTTAGTGATCTATTTTAAATGTGTTTAGTCAAATTACATAATTGTAATAATAATGTGTTGTATTTGACATCTGTGGTCAAAAAAACAATGATTAAAATAATTAAAATAAATGAAATCATGTAATAGCACTATTTAAAAGTACATTTGTGTGCTTAAAATGTGAAAATTGTACTTTATAAATATGTATTTGATTATTCTATAGCTAAAATGAAAGTAGGTTTAATGACATTATTTCTCAACACTCTTAAATGCAATTTTCAAAAATACATACACTTTGCAATAACTTTATTTTTTACTTTAAGAAAAGGTTTGGGTCATTGTTTTTGTAGTGTTTTACAGAAGTACATTTATTTATTTTCAATTTATTTATTTGATTGTTTGTTTGTTTGTTTGTATGTACCATAATTCAAAATTAGTTTAGTGATCTATTTTAAATGTGTTTAGTCTGATTACATATTGTAAAAATAATGTGTTGTATTTGACATCTGTGGACTAAATAATAATTATTTAAATAATTAAAATAAAATCATTAATTTTAAACTTATTCAGTTCTTTACTTGTTTATAATGTTCGTATTTCTGTCTGATATTATAATATAATTGACACTGTAGGTTTAACCTTGTTGTGATAAAAACTATTATGAAATTAGATATATTTTCTTTTTTTACTTGAACAGTTCAGTTTTGAATTTTTAATTTGCAGTGAAATTGCTGGATTGTATTGGTTATAATAAACTTGTAAGAATTGAAATATTACAAATATTTTTGATGTCTTTGACAATTCAAAACATGAGCTGAAAACAGAGACTGGTAACTTCACAACCCAGCAAGGGGGAATGTGGGAAAAACCAGTTCCTGCTGCATTTGCATTTGAGTCTGCTGAAACTCAGCTTCATCCCCCCAACTCACGCATATGGTCATTTCAATGTTTGAATGTTCTAGATTAACCAAACTGACTTTAACTATCATGTTTGATATCATTTGAAATGTCTCAGTGCGATTGGTACAATGGTCTCATTCTCTCAGAAATAGACATAATCAGAACAATAAATATATAACTTCAGGCATCTTTTGAACCACTGTGAGGGGTGTGACTTTTACACTAAGTGTGAATGCCTTTTTGTTATTCACACCCCCTTCCTTGAGGGAATTCTTGGATTATTTAAGGTAGGGTATGAGAAAGTCTCGGGGCGATTCTGCTTACCCAGATCAGCCCATAACATGGAGCCTAGGCTCCACGTTATGTAAAATTTACACGTTATGTAAAAAGTCAGGAATGCATCTTTTAATCTTGGATTTATCTTTGATAATTTGATGTTTTGTATTGATCGTTTATGAATTGACTGATTGAATTTGGCATAATACATTTACCTGACTAATAAATTATCTTTTGAATTATTCAAACCTTGTGTTATTATCACTGATAAATGTTGTTGTCCATAGCACTACAAGCCACTGTACAGGTTAGTAACGGACTAAAACATGTTAGACGGAGCAGCGTGGCACGCTATACAATGTTGGTAGAGATCCAACTAACAAATTGGCATTTACTCATGTATACTTGGACTGTAAAAGGCCAACTATTTAGAACAACAAAATATTGTTGAAACTACTTTAAATGTGGATATTTAGGCCTTCATCTACAATAGTATAATCCTGCGCGATTATTATTAAAATACTTTTTCTTGAATTAGTAGATAACAGATCTATGGGGACCACATAAAAAATCTCCTTAATTGAGTAAGTAGGGTTCTGCCTTTCTAGGAGAGTGGTTAATGGCCTCTGTTTAATGACCAAGACTGACAAGCTTGTATTAAGAGATTGTATACCCGGCCGGAGCAAGACTCGAGATGCTATCGGAATCTGAGTAAATGAGAATAAGGTATAATAACAAATCAAAAGAATATTCAATCATAATCTAAAATAATGTGAAAGCTGCTGTATGTTAATATGTTATGTTAAAATATGTTAAGCTGCTTTGACACAATCTATATTGTAAAAGCGCTATACAAATAAAGATTAATTTAATTTATGTACATTTCCACTGTCAAAGGTACCAAAATACTAAACCATACCATACCACTTTTTTGAATTGTGTATAAATGTCTGGAGGTCAGAGCCATATTAAATTCTTTTGATGAGTAAAATAATTTATTTAATGTCATGTACTTTACATGGAGTCCAACTAATCATGTGTCATAAACATTCAAACTAGGCATGGGTATTGTGATTACTAGTGCTCTAAAATAACTTACTTTATTTAAATGTCTGGGTAAAAACTGTTTTCCCAATTGGACACAATATAATATATCTAAGGAAACATTTAAACATTTTGTAACAGTTAATAACAGTTGATAATAAAAATAAATCTCTGACTTCTGCTGTCTTTATTAGTTTTTAAGTTTTTTTTATTACAACTTGAAAAGGCAGCTTTGGATATCTTTCTCTTTTTTGGATATAAAGTAAGCCACTTCACTGTTCGGGTCTGGAGCAGGATTGGATGTTGGTTTATAAGTGATTTGATTTTCAGATGTTTGCAGAATTGGAAAACTTACCCTTTACAGTAACTTGTTGTGCTTTATTTACATCGACTCTAAACCTACTCCTTACAGTAATGAAAGAAGTATTTATTATTGTACAACATCATTAAAATTGTTATATTAAAGTATGTGCACATTCTCTGTACATACTGCCATCCACAGCCATAACCCTTCTAGCCATAACTTAAACTACTTGCAGAGTTAATCCTCCCATTGACTCAGATGAACATCATTGATTATGTTACTAGTGTCCACTACTGGCAGAAGATTTGAATGGGTTTAAATGGAATTCCCTAACCTAAACTCACACAAACCTTTGCAAAACTCTCTGCATTCTTACATAAAATATCTAAAAACTTAATCTAGTAAGATTTATTTTTTATTTAGTTTAACCATCATTTGTTCCCACATGAAAAGGGAATAACTGAACAACACAGAGACACATTATGAAGATTAAATTTGTCTCTTAAAGCCACAATATCTATAAATAAATAAACATTCTGACCTACATTAATTCTTGATAATTGAAAAAAAAAAATTTTAGTAACTGTATTTTAATACCAGAGATTTGAAAGTTAGGATGATTGTTGGTTGTCTGACAAAAAGCAGATCAAAATCTTAATTGACCTACCGATTTGTGTAAGTTTCTCCCCTACAGTGTCCTTCAGCTGATTTAAAGCTCCTCTCAGATCCTCCAGATTCTCCTGAGTCTTCACACTGATCTCAGGCCAGTTCCTGGTGTCTGCAGGTCTGCACTGCAGGGATGAGTAAATCTACAGCAGGAGAGAGAGAGGAGAAAGCCTTCAGCATGGGGAGTGTTCTGGAGTCAGAAATGGATGTTCTCAGCATGACCTTGTTTCCCGCACAGTGTTCCCTAAAAAATCTCTAAAGGTGAAGAAATCTAGACGTCTTACCAGTGCAGTTGCTGAAACTAGCAGTTTCTAAATGTGTCCTCTTTTTGTCAAGCATTCCCCTTCAATGCTCTTTATAAGACTTTAGTTGTACTTTTCATTTAGGCTGAATGAAAAGTTCCAGGCTGGTTTCCAGCCATTTCCAGCCTGGTCTTAGCTGGTCAGGCTGGGAGATGACCAGCTAAAACCAGCTTGACCAACCAATCCAGGCTGGGAGTCCAGCCAAAACCAGCTATGTCCAGCTTAAAACAGGCTGGTCAAGCTGTATTTAGCTGTATTTAGCTGGTCATTTTCCAGCCTGACCAGCTAAGACCAGGCTGGAAATGGCTGAAAACCAGCCTGGAAAGGGCCAAAACCCCTCTAAAACCAGGCTGGTCAACCAGCTAAAACCAGCCAACCAGATTAGGCTGGTTTAAGCTGGATTTTTTTAGCAGGGTAGCTGCTGGCTATTCGCTCAGTCTTTGGCTGAAAGCAGTTAGTGTCAACCAATCGCAGCAGACTGTCATCGGTCCAATCAGCGCAGATTAGCTTTGCGCTAAGGAGGGGTTTAGGAACAAATGAATCACTGGACGATTCATACGGGAGTCGCTTGGATAATTAGGTAAAAATAAATGCAGATTATAAGACCATGAAAGTGTTTTTTGACCTTGCATGCATATTAGACTGTTGTTGGAGACCCTTACAACCAAGATATGACCCTATTACATGAATAATATGGGCTCTTTAATAGAACTTTAGGGGAAATAAAAATATCTAAACTTACCTGTAGGAGATCCTCAGTGTGTGAAATCTGCTGCAGTTTAGTGTTTCTCATCTTCAGCTTAGTGATCTCCTGCTCCAGCTCTTCAATCAGCTCTTCCTCCTGTTTCTCTGCTGCTTTCTGCTGCTCCTCCATCATCTCCAGCAGTTCAATCTGACATCCCTCAATGGAGCGGATCAGATCAGTGAAGATCTCCACATGAGCTGCTTTCTCCTTCTCTGAGTATATCTGCAGATCAGAGGTTTTTTATAGATCTCTCTTCAACTGTTAATACAATTTATCCTCATATTCTAAACCAGAGACTCACACACAATCACTCACTTTTCTGTCTGCTGCTGAGTGTTTGATGTGTTGAATCCTCTTGATTCTATCCTGGATCATCTGCTCTGTGTCTTGGATCATCAACTCAGTCTATTAACAGAGAACAACAACCACACATTAACAACAACAGAGATTTTCTTGTTTTTCAGTCTATTATATTTGTAATTGTAAATGGCCACTTTGTTGAGCTCACACATACTTTGTTTTCCCTAATCCGCAAGAGGCCACTGTGTGCACTTTTTCATATCTCAAATTACTCTCGCGAGTGCAGTTCGCGCATAAACCCACCAGAGGCCGCTGTCGACTGACTGTCTGTCTGACTGGCTGGCCGACCAATCTTACTTCGTTAAACCCAAGCGACTTGTTCATTTTATTTTTTGGATTCTGTTTTTGTCTTACCTGATTTATGGAACCGCTCTTTCCCAGACTCGCACCCCGTTGTCGTCGTGGTCAACTCCTCTCTGCATCTCAAGTCCACTGACACACACAACGAGCTAACAGGACAAACTGGCTGTGGCGGGAAAGCCCTCCACACGGAGGTAGGCGGTCAGCTGGTAAGCGCGAAAAGGAACAGCATCATACCGCCCCGTAGTGTTCGTTTAAAATTAAATGCAGTCATACGTTCCACCGGCTACATAATTTGAGGTCTCCAGCCAAGTCCACGGGACTACGTTTTCAGAATGAGCCCGTGTTGGCTTTAACACCAGTAAACTAGACCAGGGGTCACCAACCTTTTGGTAACTGAGAGCTACTTCTTGGGCATTGTTTAATTTGAAGGGCTACAAGTTTGATACACACTTCCTAATAACAAATTTGCTCAATTTACTATTAATTATATGTTATTAATATTTAATGATATTCATCTATGTGAAGACACTGATCATGTTAATGATTTCTCACAATAGTTGTCAACAGTGATTGGAAACAGATAAATATCAATATGCAACACTTCATTTGTCTGAAATTGTTTTTTAAAGTTTTTTTTAATATATAAATTAATGCCATTTTCAATTTTTCACCAATGCAAGTGTGATTTAAATAGAATAGCTACAAAAAATATTAAATGCAGCTTACTGGTATGTGATGCTATGGTAAGCTAATTTTATAACAGGCCCACGGGCAAGTCATGTTGGTGACCCCTGAACTAGACTATGTGTGCCAGGACTACTTTGCTGACCGGCTAAACTCCAGTGAACTAGACAATGTGAACCTAGGCTACCTTGCTGACTGGCTTTAGAACACTGTGTTCTAAAGAACACACAGAATGAAATAAGTGAAGTTTCTTTATAAACTAATTTCAAGAGGATCATGTGCTTAAGACTGCTTGCAGCCGGTCCCGCATTATTCAATTTATAATTCACCAATCAGCCAATTCCTAAGTCACTCTAAATACCCTAAGTTCCATATAACAACCATCTTTGTTTTGAAGAATCCCACCTTCCACCCCTACTTCTCCTCCTTTCCTAGATAGGTGGCACAGTAAGAACATCACTGCTTCTAGTCCTTACTAGGCCAGCCAACGTTTCTGTGCGGAGTTTACCCATTCTCCCTGTGCTCACCAGGGTGTCCCCTGGGTTCCCCGGTCTCCTCCCACTGTCCAAAAACATGCAACTTAAGTTAATTGACTAATCCAAATCAGCACCATAGACACGCTCCTAGTAAGGAGCTACTACAGCAGATGAGTTCTTCAGATCTACTTGAACTCAAACTGAGCTCTAATAAAAATAGCAAACCTTCCAGCTTCGACAGTCTTAAATGCAGTCCTGCTCCTGCTTTTGAGTACAGCCAGATTTTATAATGTTTTATTAACAACAGGATTTTAATTGATCTTGAATATTGAAGTAAATTATTGTAAAATATTGAATGTGTGGTTTACAAAACCCTCCCCAATTGTGGTATTATACTCTAATGATCAATGTCTGTATTTAACATCTGATAATAAACTGAGGAACTGATTTCAGCAAAGCAGTATTGATTTATTTATTTAGCCTGGCTTCCAGAACATGAAATAAATCTGTAAAACTTTATTTTGTAATTATCTAATTTCATTAAGAGTTTCAGGGTTTGATCACTTGTTCTTATACAATTTTAGTTTAAATTCTGGTCAGTTCAAGTTTGCTCTGAGTTTATGTATTGTTCTGAAACAGTGATGATCTGCTTGGAGGGAAAATGTATTGCCTATGTTTTATCTGTATTCATCATGGTTGATTGTAGTGAGAGTCACCAAGAGTCTCCAAAACAGCAGCGGCCCAGAAGAAAGAGTCCATCCAGCAGTAATGACAACAACCTTTACCAATTGCCTGAATATAATAATCATGTGTAAGATAATGTGTTTAACCAGGTGGACCAGGAAGCCATGTGTTATCTGTAAACCTCCAAGATGCTGTCGAAGCGATATCAAATGATTATCGGTCAGACCACTACAATGAATGTTTATAAGCCAGAGGACGCTGAAGCCTAACTTATGTTTTTTTGGCCTTTTATACTCTTGGGATTTAATATATGAGCCTCTCCTTGGGTCTAAAGTGTAATTTCACTTACTATGTTTATGGTATTTATTTAGTTCTCACCTTTTCTAAAGAAACTGTGTTGTGGTTCCTGTGATCTCCATCAGTGCAGGACACACAGATGATTTGCTGATCATCTCTACAGAAGAGCTCCAGAGGTCTGTCGTGTTTCTGACATATATAGTCCTCCAGATTCCTCACAGGATCCATCAGTTTGTGTTTCTTTAAACCTGCTATTCTCGAATGAGGCTCCAGGTGAGTTTGACAGTAAGAAATCTGACACACCAGACACGATTTCAGGGCTTTCAGCTTTCTGCCCTCACACATGTCACACACAACTTCAGCCTTTTCCTCAGGCCTTTTCTCTTTATAGTGCTCTGAGATCTCTCTGAGTGTGGTGTTAATCTTGAGATCAGGTCTCTGTGTGAATGTTTCTTTACAGTTTGGACAGCTGCAGGTCTGGCTGTTGTTCCAGTACTTATTCAGACAGCTCTTGCAGAAGTTGTGTCCACATGGAGTGCTGACCGGATCAGTGAACACCTCCAGACATATAGAGCACCGAAGCTCCTCAGACAGTGGACCACTGGAAGAGGACATCCCTGGAAAAAAACAATGAACAAAAAACTACATACTGTACACTACAAGTCTAAAGTGTGGACACACCAGAGAATCTAAATTTATTATGATCCTAAAATATGTTTTGATCATCATCCTTATACTTAAATGCACTATTACTGACTTATATTCTCTCCAGAAAAATAAGGTGACATTCTAGAGGCCAAACACCCCTTTAAAGAACTATTAATATTTATTTACTTATATTTTTATTTGGTAATTTTTTTTGTTTGTTTATTCTACTTTACAATGTTTTAATAATATTTGTATGCTATTATACACAGACAGGTATGAACTGGAGTGTTGATATCTTAATGTGTGGATTATTGACTTACATGGAGGATCATCTATGCTCCTTCTCCTAGCTGCTTTTCCTTTTGTCGATGTTGGTAAAGATTCTGCCATTTCTGTACCTTGCTTAATTCAAATATAAAAACGGAGAGAAAAACAAAATATAAATAAAAAACATGTTTCTTCTTTCCCAAAAAACTTAATTGTGCGTAAATATAATAATAACAACCTTCACGATTTCTTATAATGAAATACAAATATTTGAAAAAATATCTGCTTATATGAAGAGCTTTTGACAATAGTATTGGACAATAGATTTCAAATAAAAACTGTTAATCATTGCAGGGTTTCATACACATTTTTACTACTAAAACTCTATGACTTTTCCATGATTTTTCTAAGACTTTCAAGTAAACAATTATAAACTAATGTTTCACGCAATGTCTACATATGAGAGAAAAAAGAAAAACAATGCATGTTCAAATTTATTTTAGTATATAGCAAAACAAGCTCAAATCTATTTAGTTTCAATGTAAAATTGATTTAGATAATGCACCGCACTAATATTGTGACAGCATGTGATTGGCCAAGGACAGAAAAAGTAAATAACCTATATTCAAGTACAGAGATATCTGTTTTCCATGACTTTTCCAAAACTTTGTGGGTTTCTTCTGTTTTTCCAAAACTTTTCCAGGCCTGGAAAATGCCATGTCAAAATTCCAGGTTTTCTATGGCCGTATGAACCCTGCCATTGATTTAATGAACATTTATATTGAAGTAATCAAATATAATTCAAGAATTGAAAATAGCAGAAACACAATCAATATTTGAAACACAGGGACAAACTCAACAATCAGAACTATGACCTGCAGCTAGATTAAAGTACAAAGTTCGTGAGATACTGTAGTGTACTGTATATTCCACTGAAAAAAAACTCTTAAATAAATGTGTAATTTAAAATATAATAGCTTGCTCTTTTTTTAAAAAATATATGCACAAAACAACTCCACCTAATCCTTAACGTAACATTTAATGTGATTTTCAGCTGTTGTGTTCTGTAGTAAACTACCGCATGTTATTGATTTGTGCAGATCTTTCACTTCCTGATTCTTTTTCGACAAAGATACAGAAATATAAAACGTTGCTTTAAAGTCAAATTACATAGCCTACTATTTTAATACAATACAAATATGAAGTACACATTTAGTACTTTGAGCATTTGATTAATCCTGCGACTGTTGAACTTTCAGTCTGACACAGACGCTTTATAAGAAATCCGTTAACGTTCAGTTCAGTTCCATCATTTCTCTGTAGTTGCTAGCTTAATTTCGACTACTACCTACCCGTATCAAATGTGTCCTCGAGTTTTTGAACAGCTCATTAAAAACTCTGTAGTATCAAATATGTTTTGTCGTGTCAGGCGTTTATGTTGTTGGTATACCAGTTTCACTTTCTCTAAACTTCTCGTTGATTGACGGTGATGACGTCAGAGTTCATTGGGGCGGTTTTTATTTCTTAGACATTTATAAGATCTTCTGTTGAGGCAACATAGTACACTAAATAACTCAAGATTGTGTCGAACAAGTCATTAATCATTTGTATCTCAGGACTTAAATTTGATTTTCCCCTAACAGGCCTAGCTAAACCGAGCTAAAGTTTATTTATCCCTGTTTTTATATACGTAGGATTTTACTCTGGGTTTTTTGTGTTTTTGTTGTTGTTTCTGCTGCTATTTTTCATAATTAAATACAGGCTGTAAGTAAAATCAAATCGTTAATATATTCCAAACATGTTTTTGTTAAACAGCAGACATTTACAAAAGTCTCCAGTAGAGGCCGGCATTCTCTCACTGCTAGAATCACACCTTTAGAGAGGGTATATATATATATATATATATATATATATATTTCAATGAATTTCTCAATTAAATTCAATGTAGCTGCATTTGGATTTCAGTGCTTAATATAGGCCTACATTAATTTATAATCGTCCATACTTGCAGGCAAGGTTAACGTTGCACAATTTTTAAATAGACTCACTTTTGTTTTTAATACCAGCTAATACCAGCTATCACAGTTCATAAAGCACTACAAATAATTGTTACATTTATTAAACAATAGAGGCACTTATAATGTTGTATCAGTATTAACATATGCAGTTTGTAATAATCACAAATTTCTAAAACTGTATCAACTGTATCTCAAAAGGTTGAATACTAAGGCATGGCAGAAGCACCTCCATGTTAATTTTCTTGAACATTTCTACTTGCATCTCTCTTCTTTGAGTTTCTTTTTTACAGGTCATGGTGTTTCTATTAGGTCATCAAGAGCAGATGGCAGTAGAATGTGCAGTTTTCATTCATAATCTGCAATTTTGACATGTAACAGTGACATTTTATTCACATTAGCAGATGCAAAATAAAGAACAAAATTACCTCAACAAATATTTTATACAAATATTGCAAAAAAAATCAGTTATACGATATAAAACTAAGTAGAAACTTTATGTATATGTAGTCTATGTACAATTGACGACAATGACAAATCAGAAAAAAACAAATGCTGAAAAAATATATTATTCTCAGCCTAAGAAGTGCACAGCAGAGGGAAAACTTATTTACAGATTAGGGTCTGTAAAGGTTGGCAAATCCTTGTGCAAATCCTACATCCCAGCCAGTCTTTCCCTTCACCTGCACCTCATAATAAAATCTCCCTGAAGAGAATCCCTCTTTTCCCATGACCCTTAAAAATCTGTCAAATCTCTGTGGTTTATTTGGGAGTCTCAGTCTAATGTCTACATCTCTCACATGCTTTCCATCCACAGACAAGATGAGGTCAGATATAGCTGTATCAGAATCTAGAGTCACATCCACTGAGAAAAAAAGCAAAGTAAATGACAATTTTGTAATGGTGTTTTAATATTGAGTCAAGTTTCAGTCAGATTATTCTGCAGTGATGAAGAGCAGTGAGTGTAGACTACAGACAGCACACTATACCTGCATACTGCTGCATCCACTTCAGAACTGTAGAGACAAATGACATAATATTTGATGAGGTGCTTGATGTGTCTGGACATACATCAACATTTAAAGATGACTGGATAAAAAAATATATACTTTTGCAGGGTTTTTTTTATCTGTCAGTTATAAAAAGTTGAACAGAAAACGTAGGCAGTGTGTAATAAAGTATTTGAGTGACTATACGTGCCATAATTTGAACAGTGTGAATTTACTGATACTTTAGACTAGTTACCTTTTTGCATGTTCTTGCCTGCAAGCAAAATATGGAGAAAATAACCAACTGAATTAATATGTGAAAAGGTTGCAAATATCTATTTTCTTTAATAAACAACAGCTTACTGCTATTCAAAGTACCCCATATGTTCGAAGGTAAAACACACCTACTGTACATTTGTATGGGGAATTGTTTTATATTGAAATTTATTTAAGTTTATGGAACTTTAAAACTTAATTCAACAATTATTTATTATTTTGAAATGATACCAGAATTCTTAAACGGTTAGGGTTGTCTTTGTATCATCCCTTAACCAATTATTTCTTTCTTAGCCCGTATAAAAACCCATTACAAATGACAAAGCCTATTCTGAGTCTTCTTGCACATGACAGGTATGTTTGTGAACAATAAATCAATAAATGAATAAACAAATAAATAAATAAATAAATAAATTATACATAAAATAAATCGGCCCTAAAGTAATAAAATGAATAAAACGAGAAATGAGATGATCCTGTCCTGGTTTATTACTGGCGACAGACTTTATTTACACACTTTAAACACTGGGCAAAATGACAAGAAACAAGAACATATTAAAATTTACAAATTATGTTTATCACTTTTTATAAATCAATCTCTCTTTATTTAAATGTTGTAGGCCTAAGTACATTTTAAACCAAGTTTCATTGTCTGGTAGAAAAAAGGGAGAAATTTCACAGAATTATTTTGTGCATTTAAACTTTTCAGCTAAAAACAACAGACTGAAACAAAATATAAATAATAATTTTTTACACTTTCAAACATTTTTCAAACATGAATTATACAAATCATTGTTTTATCAAGCATTAGTGATCTAAATTCATTTATTATTACAATGGAGAGACGTGATGATCAATGGTGTTGAGTTTTTACCTCCATCATTTAAGCATGGACCAAAATATGGAAAGAGTTTATCAGTGAAAGTCTGATCAGTGTAGGAGTAGACATGAGAGCTGGACTCCACATCATAAAAGCAGACCAAACCCTCCTCATAATCCACAAACACACCGACCCGCTGCAGATTCACTCTCACAGACAGAGAGACAGGAGAATCGGCACAGGCTTTATATTCATTCCCATTCCTCAGAACCACAGCCCAGAATCCAGTAGCCACTCCTAAATCCCATTTATTCTTTCCCTTCATCTCCACCTCAAAATAAAATCTCCCTGAGGAGAATTCCTCCTTTCCCAGGACACAGGGACATGTATCAAATCTCTGTGGTGTGTCTGGGAGATTCTGTCTGATGTCTCCATGTTTCACTTGTTTTCCATCATCAGACAGGATGAGATGTGGATTCGCTGTATCAGGATCCAGAGTCACATCCACTGAGAAAACACACAATATAAATCAGAACAGAAACACATTGTGTGAGGATGATATTGATATTTTGGTCAGTTTTAATTGGTCCAACAACAGTAATGATGTAGTGTAGTTCAGCACACTGTACCTGCATACTGCTGCATCCACTTCAGCTCTGGAGACACACAAGACAATCAAACATCAGGACATTGTTCAACTGTTTTTAATGTATGAAATATAGAGCTTATAAACCTTTTTTCTAATCGATGTGTATATCTATTATTAGTGTTTGAGTGTCCACTTGTGAAAAATAAATGTGCTTAACTGTAACATTTAACATTTGTGTGCTTAAAATCTGAAAATTGTACTTTAAAAGTGCATTTGTAGATTACACTATAGTTAAAATGAAAGGCCACTTAAGCAGAGGACACTTCACTGATGTTATTTCCACACACATAAATGCACTTTTAAAAACACATACAATTTACATTTATCATTTATAATTAAATTTAAATTAAAGAAAAAGGAAAAAACATTGTTTTTTTAGGGTTTTATAGAAATATATGTTTTTTTTTACTAATACACTTACTGTATGTGCATGTAAAATAATAAATTTTTCTTTCAACCTACTGCATGTGTGTTGTTAAAAGTTGATTTATTACTTATAAATAAATACATTTACTGATATATTTTAAATGTATTTAGTCTGAGTACATGTCCTGGCCAAATTCCCTCCATCGGCCCTTACCCATCATGGCCCCCCAATCACTGTCTATCTATCTCTGTCTCTCGTCTCCACCTACTGTATAGCTGGTGTGTGCTGAGCGCACATGTGCCGTTGTCCTGTGGCTGCTGTCACGTCACCCAAGAGGATGATGTGACATCCCCCGATATTGCATTATATAATTTACACTGCAAATTTACATGTTATTTTAATCACATTTTTGCATAAAATTTTACTTTTTAGGGAATTTTAGTTGTTAGGTTTAGTTGTAATTTTACAACATCTAATATTAAGCTTTTTTAAAAATAATTATTAATATTATAAAACTATCATTAATTATTTATTTATTTTAATTTACTTTGACATAAAAGTTGAGGCTTTAATTTTCAATTTGCAATGAAACTCAGTGTATTGTGGTTTTTCTTTGTTTTATTAAACAATTAATTCATTATAATTGTTTTATTTTAATCTTTAAGAACATCTAAGGGAATTTCAATGAGTAAAAATATAACTGTAAAATAAACTAATATATTTGAAATCAACTACAAACAATAGGCATCTAGGTTGACATTTGCATTTACTACACACTTTATTTTTGGTTAAATGACATTAAATACAATTTTAGATCAAGTTAACTTCTCAGTTTATTAAGGAGGGCACTTCAGTTTTAGTATTTTAAAGAAACAAAGTAATTATTAAAGTACATATTAAGGTTCCAGTCAAACTGTGTTACTTTACTGTTTGATTTAGTCAAAAACATTACATCAAATTTTCACAAGAGTATTGTTAACTTATATTTAAGTATAATTCATTCAGTTAATTGCTTGTCGGTACATTAAACTGTGCACTTAAACTATATTTCAAAGACACTAGAAGTGATTATGCAAGTACATTTACAAGTTTAGTCTCACTAACACTGTTGAAAATGTAAGTGTTGTAATTATATTCCAAAAGATCCTGCAGTTGGTTTGCCTCCTCTTGATTGATCCCATGAAAAAAGCAACTGAAAATCTGTTCAATATTGACATACCAGTTTGACTGAGTTTCTCCTCTATGGTGTTCCTTAGCTGATTGAAAGTTCTCCTTATACGGTACAGATTCTGCTGAGTCTTCAGACTGATCTCAGGCCAGTTCCTGGTGTCTGCAGGTCTGTGCAGGGATGAGTAACTCTACAGCAGGAGAGTGAGAGGAGAAAGCCTTCAGCATGGGGAGTGTTCTGGTGTGTCATTGCTCAGAGAGATGTTGACTGACCTGTAGGAGGTGGAGGTGATCTTCAGTGTGTGAGAGCTGCTCCAGCTCAGTGTTTCTCATCTTCAGCTCAGTGATCTCCTGCTCCAGCTCTTCAATCAGATGTTTCTCCTGTTTCTCTGCTGCTTTCTGCTGCTCCTCCATCATCTCCAGCAGTTCAGTCTGACATCTCTCAATGGAGCGGATCAGATCTTTCTCCTCCTCTGATTTTATCTGCTCAAACAGGTCAGGCAGAACATTAGTAGTGGGGTTTGCTGAGACAAGAATCAGTGTCACTGTTACTCTGAGTATAAGAAATGTATTTCTGCAGAATTTGCACTGCTTATGACAGCAAATAGCAGACTAAACTTGAAAGTTTACAATTTTGTAATGAAATTAAACTTTTCTTGTGGACGTCTGCAGAGAGCGTGCCTCAACGTCAGCTCAGCAGAAGTGTACATAAAGAGCACATGATAGCTGCATTTCAGACTGAGCTGTTTTCAACCAAACTCACTCCTGCTGAGTGTTTGACCTCCTGAATCTTCTTGATTCTGTCCTGGATCATCTGCTGCACGTCTTTCTGTGTCTTCATCAGTTCAGACTATAGACAGAGAACAGACACATTTAAAATAACAGAGATTTATGGTCATCTGGGGAAACTTACAATATCTTGGCCGAAAATAATTACTTTACAAAATCAAAGAAAATGTGTTTCCTTTTTGATCTAATATATATATATATATATATATATATATATATATATATATATATATATATATATATATAATCTAGTATTAATATGTGCTTTGTTTGAGCTCTTTTAAAGCAGGTTTGTCTGTAACTTGCCTTCTTCTCTTTACTCTCCTCTTCTAAAGAAACGGTTTTGTGATTTTTGTGGTCGGTGAAAGAGCAGTACAGACACACACCCGTCTGATCATCTCTACAGAAGAGCTCCAGAGGTCTGTCGTGTTCCTGACATATATAGTCCACCAGATTCCTCACAGGATCCATCAGTTTGTGTTTCTTTAAACCTGCCACTCTCAAATGAGGCTCCAGGTGAGTTTGACAGTAAGAGCTCTGACACACCAGACACGACTTTACAGCCTTCAGCTTTCTGTCCTCACAGACGTCACACACAACTTCAGCCTTTTCCTCAGGTCTTTCCTCTTTATAGTGCTCTGAGATCTCTCTGAGTGTGGTGTTAATCTTGAGATCAGGTCTCTGTGTGAATGTTTCTTTACAGTTTGGACAGCTGCAGGTCTGGGTTTTGTTCCAGCATGTATTCAGACAGCTCTTGCAGAAGTTGTGTCCACATGGAGTGCTGACCGGATCAGTGAACACCTCCAGACATATTGAGCACTGAAGATCCTCCGACAGTGGAACTCTGGACAAAGCTGGAAGAGAAATGATAAAGATAAATGTCAAATTACATAAAATGTAAGTTTATTCATGTTTCTGTAATACAATGCAGTGGAAACATTTTCGCCTCTTCATGTTTTTGTAATTTTTTGCTTGTCACACTTGAATCATTCAATTAATTTAACAGATTTTTTTTTATATTTACACAAAAATAACCAGGGTAAACACAAAATGCAGTTTTGAACAAATTATTTAATTTATTAAGAGAAAAAACTTCCAAACCTCCCTGGCTCTATATGAAAAATTAATTACCCTTTATATCTAATACCTGGTTGTGCCACCATTCACTGGCAATGAGTCTTCTTAAAATTCAACATTAGAGAGTTTTTGAGCATGAATGAATTGAAGGTAATTTCACAGCATCTCATCAGATTTAAATCCAGACTTCGACTATCTATTGGACAGTTTTTTTCACTTAACAAATGAAACAATCATTATAAAACTGCAATTTGTATTTAATTGCTTCATCACAGTGTAATACTGAAATTAGTTTGATAACCTGAATATTATAAGTGTGGAAAAATGTTAAAAGCAGGATAGGATGGGGCAAAAACTATTTCATAGCAGTTATGTGGATGTGATTAGATAAAATTAATCAAAACGCAAATTCATTGAAAAATATTTTTATTGAGAATTGTTTAGTTTGTGCCTGCCATAATGTTTCTTAATCAGCTCTCATAGATTAGTTTCTTGTCCTTCATTCACTATTGTACATTTCCACTGACACGATACATTTTTTATTAACTTTTTATAAATAAGAATAATAAAACAACAATAATAATAGTAATAATAATAATACAATAGGACAATGTTAGTTTGATGTCCAATAATGGCGTAAAATGACGATGGTATTTGGTTGATTTTAGGTTGTGTTGGAAAGTGACAAAATTTTAACATTGAGCCAACATCTTAAACCAACTTCATAATGACGTCAAATACTGACATTTTTTCGTCAGGTATGGCAACCAAAATCCAACATCTGATAGACGTCATATTCATAACGTCCACACAACATCAAGCTGTAACATCATTAGACGTTGATATTTCGTTGTGTTTAGGTTGCATTGGAAAGCAACCAAAATGAAACATTTGTTTGACGTTGGACATTGATGTCGGCCTGACATCAGAACGTCGTTCTGACGTCAACCCAATTTTAATTTCCAAACAAAACGCAAAAAATAAAACACAAAATGTTGGGGTGAAACGACAATCTGACGTCATGTTGACATCCTGTGCCGGCGAGAACCTTTATGTAGTACAGTACTTCATGTTGTTAACATTTATTTACTACCATAATAATGTAATAATAACAATAATAAAAATAATAATAATAATGATAGTATTATTATTATACATTTCTTTAATACACACTAACAAGAAACAGTAATTTTAACTAGGCTATTTTATTATTAGTTATCTTATAAATTATTTATCTTAAATTTTAAAATCATGCCTTAACAACAGAAAACTAAAACATACACATTGCAACAGTATTACACATTTATTTACATACCTTCGGCCTTTTTATTTTATTTTTTTTTCTTTTACTATGAACTACTGCTTACATGTTTTTATTTAGCCTACTTTTTAATGAAATGTACAAAAAATAAGCTAGAGTGTTCAGATTTGGCTGCTACACATCCTTGATATAAATATTATTAGCTTTAATAATAATACAAGTAATTTATTTAATGACTGTCTTATTTCTGGATTATTAACTTACACATGGGTTCATTTATGTTCCGTCTTCTGGCTCCTTTTCCTTTTGTTGACGTCAATGTAGATTCTGCCATTGCTTTCTTAATACAAATACACACAAAGAGAGAGAGAAAAGCAAGATGTAAATATAGATATCTTTACATTTATTTATATTTTAAATATTTACATATTTATTTCTTCCCCAGTAACTTAGAGCTGTGTATTAAAATTTATTATCAACATTAACAATCACTTTTTGATAAAAAAGAAAATATCAGCCAGTATGAAGGATATTAGAAAATAGTGCTGGATGATGAATTTTAAGTCAAAACTGTTAACCATTGATTTAATAAACATTTATATTGAAATATTCCAATATCATTTAAAAATTGCAGTGGCAGAAACACAATCGTTCGTCTGGAACAGTGAAATAAACTGAACAATCTCAATTATGACCTGCTGTTTAAATTAAAGCACAGAGTAACCTTAAATGTGTTACATTTTCCAAAGAAAGATAATGCACAATTAAAAATAGATATCTCTTGCTAAAACATATTACTTGCGCAAAAGTAATCAAACGTTGTTCAATATAAATGTGCTTTTCAGCTGAAGTGTAACAGGTTTGTCCAGCTGCTCTTTCGTTTCCCCATTCCTTAGTAATTTTTAATTTCACAGAATGAAGCATTAAGTTGTTTTATAACTTGTCAAATGGCACATATAAATACAATTCTAATATAAATATTTGAAGAGCATTAAGCATTTGACACGATTAAACCTCCATCTGTTTGACTTCTATTTGACTTATTTTTCTATTTGACTTCTATTTTGTTTATCTACTATAAACAAAAAAATAAATAAAAAATAAGCATTTTGATAAAAATTCTGTTCAGTTCAATATCTCTTGATTTGCATTTCTAACACTTACCTGTGAAGATCAAATGTATCCACAAGTCTTTAAATTGTTAATTAAATATGTCTATTCTATTTTATCATTTCAGGTGTCAGCGTTGTTGTTGATCAAGTGACTTTCAATTTCTTACTGAACGACAGTGATGTCAGAGATCACAACTCAGCGCTTTTTTATTCTAGACCTGAAGACGGATGTTGAGGGAAATTTTCTTTAAAGGGACAGTTCACACAAAATGAACATTTCCACACCGTTTACTCCAGTGTTTCTAAACTTTAATGAATTTCTTTCATCTGTTGAACACAAAACCTATTCTGAAGAATGTTGTAAACCAGCAGCCACTGACATCCATAGTAGTCTATAAGAGAAAATACTATCAATGTCTGCAGCTTTTCAGCATTCTTCAAAACATTTTCAGTGTTCAACAGGACAACAATAAACCAAAAATCAGGTTTGGAACAAGTGGAAGCCTAAAATAATGGGATAAAATTTTTAAAAGAATTGTCTTTTTTGGGTGAACTGTCCCTTTACTACTCAAAGCTCAGCTATGTGTGTAGAACAAATCATTTGCACTTATCAGTGCTTAGATTAAGAAAACTACTTGATTAACAATAAATAAATATATACATTTTTAATAGTAATTATTATTATTATTATTGCTGCATAATTATTCTTAAGTCACAGTACCTCTGAATTTCTCACTGAACTGCAGTGATGGCATAATTTCCCCCATATACTAATATTAAAAATATGAGTTCAGATGTTAATGTTAACATTCAATAAAGGTGAAGATAAGCAAAGCAACATAATGGAGGGCTCAAGGCAAGATTCAACTGCACACATTTTAACATGAGGACTGACACAAAAGCATTTGGAAAGGAGGAAATAAGCAAAAAAATAAATCAAAAGTTTTCCCACAATGGAGCTGACTAAACCAGTCTCTTTGACTGTATGCACCACAAGAACCTTCTGCTTTCTTCTTACCTTCAAGGCATTTCATTATTTTTTTTCTTTTGTGATACATGATTAGATGCTGATATATGAAAAAAAATAAATGCAGTAAATTAATTACTGAAAAAGGTTCAATGGGGAGAACTTAATTTCAGCCAGCCAGACTCAGCGCTTATAAAATTGTCACGTTTAAGGTCCTATATCTTTAATAACCAATGACCTTCACTGCCTGATTGATATACGATATTAAGTGGGTCTCTGACCGGTCAAGAAGCATTGCAATAAATTACATTTTCCCTTGTCATGTCTTTAAATTATGACGGTTTATTTTACCCGAGTATTTTACCTTGTTCGCCTGCTGATCCAGGCGGCACTATAGCGGTTACAGCATCTTTCATCTTGTTTTTCGCTTGAACAACTAAATGAATGCTTAAGTCTATTTAAGTCTATTTAAATTTACATTACAACAATAATGCTGTAAAAAAAACCTTGTGAAATTGAAAATAGCCAGATTAAGCTTTTACCGCAAACTGGAAATTTTCTACTGAAGGCATTTGTTCGGTCATTATTTTTTGGATTAAATTTTTTATATTGTTTTTAAACTAATTTGTTTACAAACATAATTAAAATAATAATAATAAAACTCATTCTGATCATTTTTGTGACTTAAATATTTCTTTAATCAGCCTTCCCTCAGGGGAGTGATAAACATCATTAGACTATATTAATTTGAATAATTCTGTCATGAAGAATAAGCTTTCATTTCAATGTTTTATTTGGATATGAAGCAAGCAGTCAGATTTACTTTAAACTGAAGAACAAAAGGACATCCTGAGAGGACACATGCAGAAAATGAGTTCAATGTGAAAGTAACACACTTATACAGTTTTACATATCAAAAGATCTATTAGAGCTGTAATCCAATGAATGGATGAAAAGAAGTAGATACTAAGTAACGGTATTCAAAATATTATTTTTGTGTGTTTTTCATACTGGGAAGGAGGAAGTACAATCACTTATTCACACTTACAGGTGTGATGATTAGAGAAGTTGAGTTTTTACCATTATCATTGATTTCAGGGCTGAAATATGGATAGAGTTTATCAGTGAAAGTCTGACCAGTGTAAGAGTAAATATGAGAGCTAGACTCCACATCATAAAAGGAGACCAAACCCTCCTCATAATCAACAAACACACCGACCCGCTGCAGCTTCACTTTCACAGACAGAGAGACAGGAGAATCAGCATTGGCTTCATATTCATTCCCATCCCCCAAAATCACAGTCCAGAATCCATCACTGGGACTGTGTATGACCTCTCCCTTTCTGTCTACTGATTCTCTGACCACTCCTAAAGTCCAGTCAGTCTTTCCCTTCACCTGCACCTCATAATAAAATCTCCCTGAGGAGAATCCCTCCTTTCCCAGGACATCAAGATATATATCAAATCTCTGTGGTTTGTCTGGGAGTTTCTGTCTGATGTCTCCACACGTCACTTGTTTTCCATCTTCAGACAGGATGAGATATGGATTAGCTGTATCAGGATCCAGAGTCACATCCACTGAGAAAACACAGAATATAAATCAGTTTTACAGTAAAAAGTTTGCTATCTGTCAAAGTCAACTTTAGCACATTGTGGCAATAGTTAAACACGAAACATAGAAGCATAAAATGTAGCAACAGTCACATACTGTATACATACATATTTGTAGTATTAAAGTATCAAATATATACCGACTACTTTATTAGGTACACCTTACTAGTATCGGGTTGGATCCCCTTTTGCCTTCAGAACTGCCTTCATCCTTTGTGGCATAAATTCAACAAGGTACTGGAAATATTCCTCTGAGATTTTGCTCCATATTGACATGATAGCATCACGCAGCTGCTGCAGATTTGTCGGCTGCACATCCATAATGGGACTGTTCCATTCCACCATATCCCAAAGGTGCTCTATTGGATTGAGATCTGGTGAATATGGAGGCCATTTGAGTATAGTTATTTTCAAGAAACCAGTCTGAGATGATTCACGCTTTACGACATGGCGCGTTATCCTGCTGGAAGTAGCCATCAGAAGATGGGTACACTGTGGTCATAAAGGGATGGACATGGTCAGCAACAATACTCAGGTAGGCTGTGGCGTTGACACGATGCTCAATCGGTACTAATGGGCCCAAAGTGTCCCAAGAAAATATCCCCCACACCATTACACCACCACCACCAGCCTGAACTGTTGATACAAGGCAGGATGGATCCATGCTTTCATCCGAATGTGGCAGCAGAAATGGAGACTTATCAGACCAGGCAATGTTTCTCCAATCTTCAATTGTCAAGTTTTGGTGAGCCTGCACAAATTGTAGCTTCAGTTTCCTGTTCTTAGCTGGCAAAAGCGGCACCCGGTGTGGTCTTCTGCTGCTGTAGCCCATCCGTCTCAAGGTTGGACGTGTTCAGAGATGCTCTTCTGCAGACCTCAGTTGTAATGAGTGGCTATTTGAGTTACTGTTGCCTTTCTATCAGCTGGAACCAGTCTGGCCATTCTACTCTGACCTTTGGCATCAACAAGGCATTTGCACCCACAGAACTGCCGCTCACTGGATATTTTCTTTTGGACCATTCTTCAGCAGTTTCTGAAATACTCAGACAAGCCCATCTCGCACCAACAACCATGCCACATTCAAAGTCACTTAAATCCCCTTTCTTCCCCATTCTGATGCTCGGTTAGAACTGCAGCAGATCGTCTTGACCATGTTTACATGCCTAAAAGCATTGCCTTACTACAATATGATTGGCTGATTCGAAGTTTGCATTAATAAACAGTAGGACATGTGTAAATAACAAAGTGGCCGGTGAGTGTTTTTGACATTATTATTAGGTGAACAGTAATGTAGTACTGTGTGTGCATACATTTTTAAAAGGAAAATATAATATTAGTATAATAGAAACTAGTTGTAATAGCAAAAAAATATCTATAGATATACAGTGTCATGTTTGTAGGAAAGGGAGATTTTTGTAATGTTTATTAATATTTGAATCAGATTTTACTGCATTCATGAAGAGTGAGTGTATGAGTGTAAACTAGTGTAGTTTAATCAGCACAATGTACCTGCATACTGCTGCATCCACTTCAGCTCTGGAGACACACAAGACAATTAAACATCAGGACGTTGTTCAGCTGTTTTTCTATATTTTCCTGTGCTGCTCAATTGATTTGCACACAGTTGTTCATGTATGCTTTTAGGACAGCTTTTGTAAAGATATATCAATGGAACATTTGGAAAAATGTTTTTTAGATGGTTCTTGCAAGATTAATTCACTGCATGCTTTCTGAAATTAGAGATCATACTGACTTACTAGATTGACTGAGTTTTTTCTCTACAGTGTCCTTCAGTTGATCTAAAGCTTTTCTCAGAGCCTCCAGACTATCACAGGTTTTCACACTGATCTCAGGCCAGGTCCTGGTGTCTGCAGGTCTGCACTGCAGAGATGAGCACATCTACAGCAGGAGAGAGAGAGGAGAAAGCCTTCAGCACGGGGAGTGTTCTGGTGTGTCTCAGAGAGATGTTGACTGACCTGTAGGAGGTGGAGGTGATCTTCAGTGTGTGAGAGCTGCTCCAGCTCAGTGTTTCTCATCTTCAGCTCAGTGATCTCCTGCTCCAGCTCTTCAATCAGCTCTTCCTCCAGTTTCTCTGCTGCTTTCTGCTGCTCCTCCATCATCTCCAGCAGTTCAGTCTGACATCTCTCAATGGAGCGGATCAGATCAGTGAAGATCTCCACATGAGCTGCTTTCTCCTTCTCTGAGTTTATCTGCTCAAACAGGTCAGACAGAACATTATTAGTAGGGTTTGCTGAGACAAGAATCTGTGCTACTGTTACTGTAGAGGGGTTCAAAATTCTTAAATTGAAGATTAAATATCGTCCTGAACCATTTTTCACTGTGTATTTTATAGTCTTTGGTCTTACTAAGCATGGTGTAACGTAAAATACCTCAGTATATTAATAAACACAATATAGATTCACACATCAAACACTAAAATGCCATTTGGATGAAACATGCTCTCTTCAAACTGAAAACATGGCAGAATATCCCATGGAGCCCACTTTGCAGGGCATTTATAGTCAAATTTATGGTGGCCGAGAGAGCTTAACGCGCTGCAATTTAAGAAAGCACATGCAATATTTTGTAATTGCATGTGCTTTCTTAAATTGCTCTTGGCCACCATGCAAACTAGAGCAGACGTCTGAAATGAAGAGAAATGAGGAGAGCAGTGGGGCTTGAGGACCAAGATTGAGAAACATTGGCCTATAACTTTCTACAAGGATTAAACAGTCAATAAACTCACTTTTCTGACTCCTGCTGAGTGTTTGATGTCTTGAATCTTCTTGATTCTGTCCTGGATCATCTGCTGCACGTCTGTCTGTGTCTTCATCAGTTCAGTCTATAGACAGAGAACAGACACATTTATTATAACAGAGATTTATGGTCATCTGGGGAAAATTGCATCATGTTTTCATACTAAATATACTTCCCAGAAATTTTCAACAAAATTTGTTTTCAATGAACATCTAAAAGATGTCTAAGCTTAGACGGCTTGGTGAAAATGCCCAAGACTAGGATGTTTATCAAATACACAGTTTAGACAGACTTCACATGTGTACTCATTCATTTCTGTGTATTTGATAAGTAGTCCAGTTTTGGGCTATTCTTACGGGCTAATTCTTATTAGATTTTTACAGAAAGCTTATATTTAGCACTATTTTAGCCAAGACGTTGATGTTTAGATGTCTATTAGACTTCTTTTAAACATAATATGACCCATACAAAATCAGCGTTTACTGCATCTACCTTCTTCTCTTCACTCTCCTCTTGTACAGGAACAGTGTTGTGGTTTTTGTGGTCGGTCACAATGCAGCACAGACACACACACATCTGATCATCTCTACAGAAGAGCTCCAGAGGTCTGTCGTGTTTCTGACATATATAGTCCTCCAGATTCCTCACAGGATCCATCAGTTTGTGTTTCTTTAATCCTGCCACTCTCAAATGAGGCTCCAGGTGAGTTTGACAGTAAGAAATCTGACAAACCAGACACGACTTCAGGGCTTTCAGCTTTCTGTCCTCACAGACGTCACACACAACTTCAGCCTTTTCCTCAGGCTTTTTCTCTTTATAGTGCTCTGAGATCTCTCTGAGTGTGGTGTTAATCTTGAGATCAGGTCTCTGTGTGAATGTTTCTTTACAGTATGGACAGCTGCAGGTCTCGCTGTTGTTCCAGCACTTATTCAGACAGCTCCTGCAGAAGTTGTGTCCACATGGAGTGCTGACCGGATCAGTGAACACCTCCAGACATACAGAGCACTGAAGCTCCTCAGAGAGTGGATTACTGGAGGAGGACATATCTAGACAGAAAAATCACAAATCTCTTACATTACCAGCAGATCAAAATTATTTTAATTACATCTCCCAATAAAAGAAAATGGTTTTCTTTGGTCACTGAATAATGACCTGAAAGTATTTGGTCTTGTTTTGTTGCTGTTGGTTAAGATTCTTGCTTCTCCACGTAACCCCCTTTCAAAAGAAAAACAGAAATACATATTTAATTCATGCACTACATAATCTGATCAATTGATTTTAATGCATAAAACAGTTATAAACAATCTTCAGTTTATATTTCTACCTCTTACCTGACAGTTTCAGATGTCCACAATAATCTCTGGATGACTCTTGGCAATTCTGTCATTTAAAAAAATTGAGGTAAGTTTCTTTGTTGAGGTAAAGTTGGTTTTATATTCACATATTCAAACTTTCTCCTTAGGTATTATTTGCAAATTCTAAATAGGGAAATTATATTATGTCAATGTATATCAAATAGTCCACAGTCAATAAAATAGCGCTAATGTTATTTTGAACTCATACCTGAGATTTCAGACCTCATATTCAAAGTAGTGTGGTAGGGACCATGTCACAAGACAAAATTAACAAATGTGTGAATATAAAACCAACTTTACCGCAATAAGTTCGTTATATATTTACACATTTGGAAATTTCTCCTTAATATTGTTTCAGAAAAGTATTATTAGCTAATTCTTAATGGTGAAATTAGCAGCTAATGACGTGAACATTGTTGCACATAACGTCAGTCAAAATAGCGCTAACAATGTTGTTTGGAAGTCATACTTGCATGCGATTTCAGAAAGAAGAAAGTAACGTAACGATGGTAAACAATATAGCGACGGTATCACAAATTGTCACTGAATAAATGTGCGAATATAAAACTAACTTTGCCTCAGTGTTTAAAGTCGTCCCTTTCAGGCGTTGTTTCAAGTTAAGTTTGGGTTTTTCGAATAAAATACTACAGTTGTGTCAGAGGTCGTCCCATATTTACACGTGTGCGACTGATTTATTTCAGGAGTTTGTGTGTTATTCCGCTAACTCTTCCTAAATGAAAGTTGACGCATAATTTGTTTACGTATTGACATAAACTCATATCGACCTTAATCTAATAAAAATGTTCAAGTTTCATGTTTGCTAATGTTTTAAACACGTATTTAACGTACCTCTTAATCTTGTCGCGTTTGGTGTGGTGTGATGATAAAGTTCTGGAGGCGTATAATAATACTGCCTCCCCCTACTGGACACCTCAGGAACAACAGGGGCGTAGATCTATGTAGATCCAAGTCTGCAGTCTCCCCCTCCATAAACACAGCAAAGCAAAACTTCCGGCGCGCTACCAGCAGCAGAACAAACATTTGAATCTCAACCAACCGAATGACAGACGTGTACTGACGTCGGTCTTTTGATTCCTCTCAAAAATCCTCGTTAAAAACAATTTCTGACAAATATATTGTGTTGTTGATAAAGATAAGATAAAGATTAACTTTCTCTGGATCTCACCTGAATATACAGTGATTAACAATATGCAAACATATTTCTTTCTTTCTTTCTTTCTTTCTTTCTTTCTTTCTTTCTTTCTTTCTTTCTTTCTTTCTTTCTTTCTTTCTGCAAGGTTTCTAGCAGGTCGCTTCCAAAGGTTTCCAGTAGAGGCCGCCATTTTCTTACAATTGCATGTTTTCATCAATGCTACTCGTTTGGACAAGGTGCGTGATTCTATGCTCTTAAGAAAGACTAAAAACGGAACAAAAAAACCTGAATTAGCTTATTTTTTAACTATACCATTGTTTATGTGTGGTCTTATTTTTATTTTTGTCATGATTCCCTATTTAACCTGCTGACATGACATGCTAGCTCACATTAGTGGTATCTGGCTGACACTGTAAAACTCAACCCTACTGAAAAAAACTGCTTAAACCAGCCTATTCTGGTTGGCTGGTTTTAGCTGGTCGACCAGACTGGTTTTAGAGGAGTTTTGGCCATTTCCAGGCTTGTTTCCAGCCATTTACAGCCGGGTCTTAGCTGGTCAGGCTGGGAAATGACCAGCTAAAACCAGCTTTATCAGCTTAGACCAGCCAAAACCAGCTATGTGAAAGCTTAAACCAGGCTGGTCAAGCTGGTTTTAGCTGGATTTAGCTGGTCATTTTCCAGCTAAGACCAGGCTGGAAATGGCTGGAAACCAGCCTGAAAATGGCCAAAACCCCTCTAAAACCAGGCTGGTCAACCAGCTAAAACCAGCCAACCAGCCTAGACTGGTTTAAACTGGATTTTTCAGCAAGACCTGATTAATTAATCTATGAACTTTCTGTATTTTCTGTCTCATATTCTGTTTCCCTGCTGAAAAAAAACAGCTTAAACCAGGCTGGGATGTTTGGCTGGTTTTAGCTGGTCGGCCAGCCTGGTTTAAGAGAGATTTAGGCCATTTCCAAGTTGGTTTATGTTATTTCCAGCCTTGTCTTAGGTGGTCAGGCTGGGAGATGACCAGCTAAACCCAGCTTGACCAGCCTAGAAAGGCTGGGAGAAGCCAAAACCAGCTATATCTCCAGCTTAAACCAGGCTGGTCAAGCAGCTTTTTCCCCTGACAGGGTTCGGAAACTGGCCTATTCTGCATGACTGAAGCTCTATAAATGACAGTATTCAGCTTTTCCACATGTGACTGCTGCTTTTCAAATTATGGGTTGCACTTCCTGTTTGGGGAACTTCCATTCAAAAGAACTGAAACAAATAATTTAGAAAAAAAGTTGTTCATCAAAGTTATCCATATAGACAGTGAAAACTATGTGAGACGTATTTGCAGCTGTGCTTTTTTATTTGACATGAAATTATTATTATGCTTGGTGTATTATTATTTAAGCATGTGGCATACAGTACATTTAACATGTCCATAATACTGCTGTAGTGTATAATTCATGCCAAGATGGACATTGACATTTGTTGATTCAAGCTAATCCTTAATAGCCACTATGTTAGCTAACAGCTACATGTAAACAACAAATCTGAGCCTCTGACAGAATCTTTCATCTCTCTGTATGCTTGAGAATGCCTGAAAAACTTCAGTGTTTTGTTATCTACAGCAGCAGATTTGCCTAAAGTTTATTTGCTATGTTTGACAGCAGATGACAACAATCAAGTACAAGATAAAATCTGGAAGCCACAAAAACGCCAGTGTTGTTTTCTGTAGATGTGATGCTTCTGCCTGTTCGGTGAGCTTAGATTTACTTCAATATTTGAGTCAGATTGTTCTGAAGCACGACAAAGATGGTGTACAGATATAAATTATCCACCTGAGAAACATTTGCATTTACATATTTTAAACCATATCATATAGTCTAGACCAGGGGTGTCCAAACTCGGTCCTGGAGGCTCGGTGTCCTGCACAGTTTAGCTCCAACTTTATTTACACCTGCCTGGAGGTTTCCAGTACACCTAGAAAGAGCTTGATTAGCTGGTTTAGGTGTGTTTTATTGGGGTTTGAACTAAAATTTGCAGGACACCGGCCCCTCCAGGACCGAGTTTGGACACCCCTGGTCTAGACGCAATCATGACATCCTATATATTTAGTTTGAAACCTTAAATTTGTCAATGAAAATGACTTGCAACAAACAGAAATGTAATAGTGGTGGTCCTTCTCTGTTGATGTCAACCCTTCAGCCACAATATTCTCAGCCACACCCCTTTTGTTGTTAGCCCCGCCTCTACCCAATATTAGATTTCAGTTGGAAGTACAACATACTGAAATTTTCCTCTTATTTTCATTGAGGAGATTAACAGTGTGGATGTTGATTTTTTAAGTTATATAACAACAATAACATCTATATTTTGAGAAAAATATGTAAATTATGGTTATATAGCAATACAATTGTTTTAACAAGGATATCCTTGTTATATATAATAGTTATTTAAAAATATGTAAGATATAAAGAAAAACTAATAGATTTTAAAGGTTAAATATTAATGTTATGTCATTGTTATTGTGAATAGTGTGAAAAAATATGGTTTATATTACTTAATCTATGGCAATATAAAGTCTTATGTGGTCACCAGAATCTGACAGAATTTTCATGTTTTGAGATCAACTTCAAATTTAAAGTTCATTTGGAGGCTTTGATTTTAGAGTAAAATAGTTTCAGATAAACTAGTTTTTATTATTATCTTTTCTTTTTTTACTTTAACAACAAACCTGTTGACATCAGTTTGATGCTTCAACAATATTTGTAGCCACGCCCTTTTAATGTTAAGGCCACGCCCCCTACTCAATATTCAGCTTCAGTTGGAAGTACAAGATACTGAAATAAATTTATATATGGAAAAAATGTATTTATAAATGTAAATGGGCTGTGAAAAAAACAAATTTTACTCACTTTAAAATATAAATAAGTCATTACCTATGCACAATAAAAGAAACAAAAAAAAAACAAATCAAAAAGAACTGTTAATTATTTTAAAGCCTTAAATTTTGTTTTTTGAATAATTGTTGTTGTGTTTTTTTTTCTTCTTTCTTCTTATATTGTACTTGATTGGATTTTAATATAATGTTGTTATTGCCCTTGTATAATCTGTGTTCTAAAATTGCGATTAAAAAAAAACATACTGAAATAAAAGTCTCAGCAATGTCCAGTTCACACAGGCAAGGAACATTTTTCGTTCTTATTTTCTTTGATTAAATCAACAATGTTGGTAAAAACAAATTTCAATAAAAATTGCTGGACAACAATATTTTTTTCATTTACGACAATTCTCAACAAATTTGTATAGCAAGTTCTGACCATTTCCTGTAAAATATTGACAAATTGGTAAAAATTGGCTGTTTATTTTTATGGGAAGAGTTCAAAACATCCAGTCTATATTTTGAGAGAAATGGGCTGTAATATTATAAATGTACCAGATTCTCAGTTTGTGATGCAGCACAAGCTTTTTTCCGCCTTTGATTTTTGTCAAGGCTAAAGTCTAATCAAATACAACAAAACAACATCATAAATATTCTGAAAAGTTTGAAAAAATACGATTTATATCACTCAAATTATACGTGAAGGCTTATGTTGTCGCCAAATACAGTATGGTAATGTTTAGTACTGCACCCATCAAAACCTTACCATTTTCATTACAATTATCTACAGTATATCTACAATTACAATCCACATTACCATGATCTACATTTGAAGTCAGAATTATTAGCTCCCTGAATTATTAGACTCCCTGTTTATTTTTTCCCCAATTTCTGTTTAACAGAGAGCAGATTTAACACATTTCTAAACATACAGTAATAGTTTTAATATTTCATTTCTAATAACTGATTTATTTTATCTTTGTCATGATGACAGTAAATAATATTTGACTAGATATTTTTCAAGACATTTCTATACAGCTTACAGTGACA